AAATCGCCATAGGTCAGATACTGTAAGTTTTTATTTTTTTTAATTCCCTAAAATGTCTTTTCTTTGCACCCACAATAGACAAACAGCGTCCACGAATCATTGCCCAAGGATAATGCAACATGAATTTTAAATTTGCCTCCACCCATCTAGGACCATGATTAAAATATGTAAATGCTTAACACCACTCATCATATACCTACATGGGATAGTTGTCCTGCAAGATGAAAATTTTTACACAGGCTAAATTTCGCTTATTTTCAGCAGGTCTGGCACTGGAGCTATTCCTGTATACAACTACGTGTCTTCTTGTGAGAATCCGATAACCTGGAGCGAGTTTATTAACAAGAACATGAAGCACAGCTGGGAGGTTCCATTTGATAATGCAGTGTGGATGTATAGTCTCACCTTGATACATGTGCACGTATTGTACAAATTGTATGCATTGCTGATTCAACTTCTCCCAGCACTAGTGGGAGACATTGCATTGTTTGCCATTGGACAAAAGCCCAGGTACACTAAATTGTAACTAGAATTGGAATAAATATACTGAAATTATAGACCCAGCTTTTAATGTTTATTCTATAGAACAACTAATGTGTGTTTGCTTATATTCAAGGTTGATGTCGATTTACAGGAAGATAAACAAGCTCTTAGATGCCACTTCATACTTCCGCAATCGACAGTGGACGTTTTCTAACCAGAATATGATTCATATGTGGAACAAGCTCAGTGAAGACGACCGATTTTTGACTTCAACATCAGTGACCTCAATTGAAATCTGTACTTGAGGCAGGGTCTCATGGGACTCCGCACGTTTGTAGACCCAAAAAATCTCCCACAAACTATTAGGAAGAGATACAGGTAGACTTCCCTGCTTACGTGGTGAAAGCGATATTAATAATTTGCTTGAAAATGTTAAAACATTTTAATATGTTTTGTGTTTACATAAAGAAAATCAACGGTGCTACAAAAGAAACAAAATGATTAAAATTATAAAAAAATTTTGCGGAGTCAATCTGGAGGTTATGATTTTGAAGATTAATTTTCTATTTGCTTGTTTCAGGCTGTACTGGCT